CCACCTGATCATCGTCTTCACTTTTCTCAATCTCATCAAACATGCTTTCTGCCAGCCTAATGAGTGTCCTCCTGGTCTTGCTTTGAGGCTCTCCGCCGTCCAGGCCGGAACATTTCAGGTGCCTGCAGACGTCCACGAGAGGCTCTCTCTCCAACTGCCACAAGGCTGCACTCACTTGATCACGCAGAAGCTGTACTGGGTCCATTTTCTTTTTAAGGTTCGTCTCTTGGGAAGGAAGGTGGTTGGTGATGGTGTTGACTCACTAGCGCCACCTCCTGGCTGGCTCGCCAAAATATGTTACACTGCTGAAATKATGGGCCAACTCATCTCTGGTGCAACATATTTATTTTGCATGAAACTGCAAAACAGAAGAAACATAGCAGATTGAAGGAGCTACTCTTGCTTCGTCTCTGCACTGCTTCATCCGACACTGGTCAACTACTTCTTCTGACCAGCACGTCGGCAACTGGTGCACACAGCTCAGAGCGCCCCTGCTGCCGAAACTTATATTACACTTTTAAATCACAAAATAGATTTGAACAGTAGTTTCTCAACACAAAGTGACCTTAAACCTAAAAATTAAATTGGGGGGGCTACCATTTTCATATATTTATCTCCTTCATGGTGCCACATACTACTACTTTATTTAGAAAGCATTTTAAAACAACCACAGCTGCAATAAATCACTGTATATTTAAAATAAAAACATGAAAAACACAAAACAAAGATTAAAATCGATTCAAAACAATAAAATCAATAAAAACAATAAAATAGGAATAAAACTAAACATAAGTCTCAGGCTGTGCCAAAAGCCAGTGAGTAAAAGTGTGTTTTTAGACACGTTTTAAAAGTGGACAGTGAACAGGCTTGTCTCACAGAAAGAGGAAGACAACACAAAAAGCTCTGTCTACTCTCAGCTTATGTTTGGACCTGAGGCACCGAGCAGGAGAGTGTGKGTGAACCAGCTCTGATAAATAGTGTGGGGCAAGACCATTCAGACTCTTAAAAACAAATAAAAGAACCTTAAAATGAATTCTAAAATGGACAGGTAGCCAGTGGAGGGAGGCCAGAGTGGGGGTGATGTGCTCCCTCTTACAAACTCCAGTTAGCAGGCGAGCTGCAGCGTTTTGAACCAACTGGAGGCGTCTGAGGGAGGTCTGACTGACTCCGAGGTAAAGAGTGTTACAATAATCAAGCTGTGACATAACGAAAGCATGAATTACTGTTTCAAGATGTTTAGGAAGAAACCGTTTTACCTTTACCAGCTGCCTGAGATGATAAAAACTGGCCTTAACCACTGCTCCAATCTTGGAATCTAATTTAAAATCACTGTCCATTTTAAAACCCAAGTTACAAACTGTCTGCTTTACATGYAGTGCCAGGGGACCCAGATCAACAGGGGGAGGTTCACAGGAGCCACTGGGACCAAACGCCGTCTTCTGGTTTTTTCTCATTAAAATTTAAAAAATTCGAAGACATCCAGGCTTTCATGTCTTCAAGACACAACAGAAGTGGCCTAATTGAAAAGGCATCTTTCTTTCTCAGTGACATATACATCTGACTATCGTCAGCATAGCAATGAAAAAAGATCCCATGCTTCCTGAGTAAAGAACCCAGAGGAAGGAGGTAAAGTTCAAGTTCAAGTTCAAATTAAAGTTTATTTAAATAGCGCCAAGCCACAACATGTGTTGTCTCAGGGCACTGTACATAAAACAAACAATCTAAAGAAGAAAGTAAACAGAAAAAAGCAGGAGACCTAAGATCGAACCCTGTGGAACCCCAAAAGACAGAGGAGCAGAGGAGGAATCAGACCCAGCTATGTTGACACATATGGTTCTGTCAGTCAGATATGATCTAAACCAGTTCAGTGCRGTACCACAGATACCTACATGGTGCTCTAAATGTGCAATCAGAATGTTCTGATCAACTGTCTTAAAAGCAGCGGTTAGATCGAGCAGCACAAGAACCACATGTTCACCAGAATCATTAGCCATAAGGATGTCATTAAAAACTCTTACTAGAGCAGATTCTGTGCTGTGCTTAGTTTTACAGCCGGACTGAAAAACCTCCAATGTATTGTGTTCATCAAAAAAAAAATAAAAATAAAAAAAGGCTGATCTGGAAAAAGACAATTTTTTCCTAGATTTTAGAAATAAAAGGCAGCTTGGAGATGGGCCTAAAATAAACCAAGACAGTTTGGTCAAGACTAGGTTTTTGAAGCAGGGGCTGCACCACTGCATGTTTAATGATGAATGGGTGGGAAATAAAGAGTTGTGTTCARCAGTTAGTGTCACTAGAATGTGTGAATGAAAAATAAACTATGAAGCTCATGGCAGAAACTGACTGAAGTTAAATGGTTTCTGTACAAGTGGGGAGCATGTATTTCTTATATTGTGCATAAAAAATCTGTTTTAGAACCGGTCTCAGTTCTGATTCCGCTTTGAAACTGAGGAAGACTCAGGAAAGTCAGAATCTTCATCAGTCTGTAAAATGATTGTCTTCAGCCGTCTTTCCCTGCTGAGGATTAGAGCAGCTTCTGCTTTCACCCCATCCCCACACCAACTAATAATGCCCAACTCCCAGTGGTCCTTGTTCCAAACCCCAGTGGGCTGCCCTGCACAAATACTCAGACTTCTTCATGCTTCAGTCGGCACATGAATGAAACTGTAAGTACTACAAACAGGYAATCCACAGAACAAACTGTGGCTCTCTAAATGTTCCACAACACAACTGAATGACCAAACAGCTCGAAAAGGATGGAAGGTTCCAAACTCTCAGATCAGTTCCAAAGGGAAATAACCAATAACTGGATCAGTTCTCATCTGACATGAAATCAAAGTGAATCTACAAAATACAGATGGATTTGTGTTTCTGATTAGTTTTATCTTTTATAAAAACATGATAACAGGTTGCCTTCAGGCCCAGGCCCTCTTGAAAAAAGAGATCTGAGATCTCAATGGGACTTGCCTGGTCAAATAACGTTAACAAATAAAAAATAAACAGTTCACTCCTGTTATAATTATTCTGCACCACTACTAGCTCAAAATGACAAACACAAGATTGGTTTAAAAGCATGAAAACAAACCTAAGGAAGGAACTGAAGGCTGATTGTCTTACCTTGGCATCGTGGATCCCTGAGACCTCCTCGAAGGTCTTCTCACCCACCATGACGGCAGCAAGGTTGGCAGTGTAGCTGGACAGCACCAGCAGACAGAAGATGGCCCACAGATTCATCAGAAAGCGACCTGTCCAGCACTTTGGAATCTTGGAGGACACGGTGCGTCCAAACAGAATGGCGTAGCACAGATTGAGAGCTGAGGAGTAGGAAAACACTCGCACCCTGTTGCGTCCATGAGGAGTCATTCCAAAAGGACTCTTCCACTCGTACAGCGTCAGAAACAGAGCAGTGATATGCAGTGCCAGGAAGATTCCCACCCACATGGACCAGTGCAGGGGCCACATAAAGGCCCCGATAGGGGCTGCTGTGTCCTTACTGCGTACTAAGATCCCCAGGCTGGTGGAGAAGAAGGGTGAGGTGAAGTCAATCACCTGGCTGCGAGCAGAGTTGATGCTAAAGGATGTGACAGCCATGTCTGCCAGACCATTCAGAAGATCTCCCACCAGTCCGGTCCAGCGCCCTGCTTTCCAGGCTCCGTACTTTCCATCTCCAACTATATAAAGGTCAAAGTTGAAGCCCATGTCTTCAGCCAGCTTTTCCAGCAGGTCAATGCAGTACCCATAGCAACACTTCCTGTTCTCCAACGGTAGTGAGCTATCGTTCCCACCTGCCACGCCCCTGAAGTACTGCTCCAGAGTTACTGACTGGTTGGTGCCGGCATCCAGGCAGAACTGGCCCGCTGGGCAGCTGCCGTCATCGTCCACATCTCGTGTAAACACGAAGGGATGTTCCACCAGTGTCACCACCCGGACCCGACTCCCGGCCACAGGCATCCCTGGCCTCCACCGGCCCCCGGCCCATTTGTTCCCCTCTGTCCTGAAGTGGTGTTTGGGTCCATGCCAAACCTCCTGATCCTCCACCAGCAGATGGCTCCCATCCCAGCTGCCAACGGTCACCCAGGTGGGCTGACCCAGTGCGTCCCGCCGCAAGCTCCAGATATGGTACCGCTGCAAGGTCAGAACCTGAGACCAGTTTTCATTAACTTGGACTGGACCCGTGAATCCAGAGAAAGATGAGTTGATCAGAAACCTGCAGTAGAAGAAAACACAAGGTAAAAGACAGAAGAGGGTGTGGCTTCCTGCCAGGTGGGTCAGGTACCCCCAGCTGCAGAGCAGGGCGAGGCCGTATAGTAGGCAGGGTTGGACATCCAGCTGGAAATGATACTAAAATTCAAAAATTTAAATTTGGAGGGAAGGAAATGGACAGTCCAATCAGAACAGTTTGAGGGCGGAGTCAGATGTCTGACACTGCCCACTACCCTGCCCCGCCCCGTTCTGCAGTCCACTGCTGGACCTACTCAGGTGAGCTGGTTCAAAAATATTCTGGTTCTGTTTCAAGTCCTAAACCCAGCCTGCCTTATCCTCCTTCAACACAAAGATCCCAGCACTTTCAGCTGTTCAGCATCAGGACCTGAAGGGGGCGCTGTGATTTGACTGAAGGAACCTGAGCTGGGTTCATTCCTGCTGATGGTTTAGACTCAGTTATTTTAGTCCCACTGAGTTCCTGTCAAAAACAACATGCCATTATTTTAATTTCTACTTCCTTCACTAAACCACCTGATGGGTCTGATGTGGTTCTAATGGATTTGACTTGGTTCTGAGTGATCCAGATAGTTCCTACTTCTCTCCTGCAAGCTGCAGACAGGCTGTTCTGATGAATCTGAGAGGTTCTGGTGTGCTCTTAGCTTCAGGCTTTGTCGGCTCCTATGTTTATTTTCACACAACTGTTTTCATGAATATAAATGAAATTCTAACGTGTGTTTGGTTCTCCTGCAGCTCTTCAGATAGATGAGGGCTTCTTACTTCAAACAGCTGCAGGAGTAAACAAATAAAATAAACAGAAATGTCCTCATCAATAAGAAGTGATTGGTTGGACTTAATTTGGCTCCTGACACTGAGGACTGATGAATTCAGGTGGTGTGATCTTGAAAGAAGTCAGTTTTCTGTAAGTCTGGGGATTCAGATATTTTCTTATAGAAATAATGAAGTTGCATTGCAGTTCTTAAGATTTCAAGTAGTAGTACTGTATAAAGTAGAGTTATTCAGTGATAAAGTTCTGTTTTTTGTATAATGCAATAATTGTTCCACACTTGATCTATCGTTTTGAAGTCTGGGGTGAACATGTAAAACGATTACAAATCCTATTTTTATTTTACAGAAAAGAGCCAAGTTATCACCAGAAAACATTACAGTCACCATCAACTATATTATTTTATCAGTTGAAATTATTAAAGGTTTATGAGTTGATTATAATATTTTGCAGGTTTTGTTTAGGGCTCACAAAAACATATTACCTTTAAACAACCAATTAAATTTCAGTTAAGAAAGTTACAATTTTAAGGGACTAGAGATTTTTGTAAAACCTAAAGTTCAAACAAATATAAAGGATCGATGTACTTCAGTCCAAAGAATAAGGTTATGGAATAACCTGAAAAGTGATAATGCAAATGCTGGTTCAATGTATTTGTTAAAAAGAATGATAAAAGATAATCTAATGAAGTTCATTGTGTCTATTTGATCAATCTTAATAAGTTTTCCTAATTAACAGACACTGCACAAAGTGTATAGTAATTAGGAAAACTCATTAAGAATGATAAAAGATAGTTTGTTAAAGAAATATAAAATTGTATAATGTGTATTTATTTAAGTGGTTATTTGAGGAGTTGAAGTTTTGTTTTTGCTTGGTTTGAAACTATTTTTTGGAAAAAAGGGGCAGATATGATCTTTCTGCTGCCTTTCATTTTACTTGTGATTTGTATTTTTTGTTGTGTATAGAATTTGTTTTGTTTTTAAATTAAATGAATAAGAAAGTCAATGCAAACAGTTCATATAAATATCTTTGACCTGAAGTGTCAGATAAAAAGTTCTTCATTCTTTCAGTATCTGATTCTTTCTACCCAACAAAAATGTATTCTGCCCACCGACCCACAACATCCCAAGTTGAGGTCAGCAGTGCACCATCCCCAACATAAACAGTGTTGGTGGCGAACCGCTTTCCCCCCGAGTTGCCGAATGGTGGACCAGAATCGCCTCGAAGCCGTACAGAAGTCTTTCTCCATGGCCTCTTCAAACTCCTCCCATGCCCGAGTTTTTGCCTCAGTGACCACCYGAGCCTCAATCCTCTTGGATTGCTGATACCTATCAGCTGCTTCCAGAGTCCCACAGGCCAAAAAGACCCAATAGGACTCCTTCTTCAGCCTGACAGCATCCCTCACCCCCAGTGTCCACCAGAGGGTTTGAGGGTTGCTGCCACAACAGGCACCGACAACCTTAAGACCACAGCTCAGGTAAACTGCCTCGACAATGGAGGTATGGAACATGGCCCACTCAGACTCAATGTCCCCCACCTCCCCCACCAACGGAGCCAACTGACCACCAGGTATTGGTTAGTTGACAGCTCCACCCCTCTCTTCACCTGAGTGTCCAAAACATGCGGCCACAGATCAGATGAAACAACAACAAAGTCGATCATTGAACTGAGGCCTAGGGTGTCCTGGTGCCAAGAGCACATTTGGACAGTCTTATGGTTGAACATGGTGTTTTTTATGGACAATCCATGACGAGCACAGAAGTCCAATAACAAAACACTGCTCAGGTTCAGATCAGGGGGGTCRTTCCTCCCAAACATACCTCTCCAGGTCTCACTGTCATTACCCACATGAACGTTGAAGTCCCCCAGCAGAACGAGGGAGTCCCCGTAAGGAGTGCTCTCCAGCCCCCCCTCCAAGGACTCCAGAAAGGATGGGTAATCTGACCTGCTGTTAGGTTCATAGACACAAACAACAGTCAGGACCTGTYCCMYCACCCGTAGGMAGAGGGAGGTTACCCTCTCATTCACCGGGCTTGTTTAAATGTTGTGCAGCAAACTTTAAAGGAGCTTCAACATGCTGTTTCTTCAGCAGTGGAGTCTTGCGTGGTGAGCGTGCATACAGGCCATGG